GATTTTAGCACAGAGCGTACAACATCGCTTCCTTTCCTACAAGAAAAACACTGCTGCAGCTGCCTTCGTTGAGATTTCTTCCTCTCCACTAAATGCAGAGGAAGGCCAGTGAGCTAAGAGATGGGTTGCACAAGGTGAATTACACTTGGGCTCGCAAGAGCTTTTTAGGACTCATCCTGAGACAGGAAGTGATGACATCAGCTCTCACATGAACCGAGAGGATATCATGTGCACTCACCCACTTCCTGTCTCGACTGGCCGAAGGGGAGGTTGCCTAGGGGAAAGTAGAGCTTGGGGAAGTAGGTCGCGGGGAGAGGGAAGAAGAGGCTGAGAAGAGGCTGTGAGAAAAGTCCCAGTGTTGCCCCTTACCCCCGCTCCCTCTTCCCTCTGGGGCTGAGATGAAGCAACTGCTTTATTTCTACTCTCAGTCCCTCACTGCGAAAACCAGCTGAATTTTACTGCGTCCTCTTGTGCTCTTTGATGCTATGATAATGCTAATATGAGAAAGTACAAACTACAGCCTGCTAGTTGTTGAGAGTCCACATGCCAAATGGACTTCCATGATTCTCCTAAAGGCAAGTGGAGGAAGGCACGGAAAGGATCGATTATTAGGTACGGGCACCAAGTGTCCTCTGTCACCTTGGGCCATCGTATTTATTACTCTCATCCATTATGGAGAGGCAGCAGAGTTAACTGGTTGCACACGATGGAGAGGAAAAGGAGGAAAACTTCAGAGATGACTTCTTGTATAAAGAGATCACTTCAGACCGGTCACAAAGGGAATTGACGGTGGTCAATTGGTGCATTGACCAATTGGATGGGAAAAGGTTGGATGGTGATTGGGCGGGGGCTCAACAGAGAGCCGATTTCAGACTGAGACCGAGGTGTGCAGGCCCCCACTGCTTGTTGCCAAGGTTCAGGCCCTTTTCTCACGTTATTGATATCATAACAAGAAAAGTCACAAGCAAACGAAGCCGATAATAATCAAAGGTGGGGCAACATATGGTCTGGGAGGTCCACCTTGAGAGAAGGACTGGGGAAGAGTGTGGGTGAGGTATGCACCATGAACAAAGATGAACTTGAACTACTGGCACCTCATGAAGATAAAAAGCTCCTGCGCTGCAAAGGAAACAATCAACAAAACTCAAAGGCAACCGACGGAATGGGAAAAGATACTTGCAGATGACATATCAGACAAAGGGCTAGTATCCAAAATCTATAAAGAACTCACCAAACTCCACACCCGAAAAACAAATAATCCAGTGAAGAAATGGGCAGAAGACATGAATAGGCACTTCTCTAAAGAAGGCATCCGGATGGCCAACAGGCACATGAAAAGATGCTCAATGTCACTCCTCATCAGGGAAATACAAATCCACTC